CTTCGCAGTTTATCAAGTTTTATTGAATTTTTCAAGTTTTGAATTTTTTTGATCTGGTCAAGTTCTAAAAATTTTTGAAATTTCTTAAATCTTTGCACATTTTTCAACTTACATAATATTATGTTTTTTTTGAATTTTTCAATTTTGTTGAATTTTTCAATATTTTTTAATTTTTTTAATTTTTTTGAATTTGAATTTTTGAACATTTTAAATTTTTCTAGAAATTTTTGAATTTTCCTTGTTTTTTGAAATCTTTAAAATCCTTCCATTTTCTAATTTGAATGTTTATTTTGACTTTTTTTCGAAGTTTTGAATTTTTTTGAATTGCACATTTATGAATTTTTTGGACATTTTAAATTTTCTAGAAATTTTTGAATTTTTTTCATTTTGATTTTTTTATCAAGTTCTTTTAAACATTTTAAATTTTATAAATTTTTTTGTATTTTCCATGTTTTTTTGAAATTCCTTAAATCTTTCCATATTTTTCAACATCATGTTTTCATTTGAATTTTTTCAATTTTATTGGATTTTTCAATTTTTTTGAATTTTTTGAACATGTTAAATTTTTTTTGAAATTTTTGAATTTTTATTTTGATTTTATTATCATGTTTTTTGAATTTTTTTTAAATCCTTTTTTACACTTCGCAGTTTATCAAGTTTTATTGAATTTTTCAAGTTTTGAATTTTTTTTGATCTGGTCAAGTTCTAAAAATTTTTGAAATTTCTTAAATCTTTGCATATTTTTCAACTTACATATTATGTTTTTTTTTTGAATTTTTCAATTTTGTTGAATTTTTCAATATTTTTTAATTTTTTTAATTTTTTTGAAATTTTGAACATTTTAAATTTTCTAGAAATTTTTGAATTTTCATTTTGATTTTTTTTATCAAGTTCTTTTAAACATTTCAAATTTTGTAAATTTTTTTGTATTTTCCATGTTTTTTTGAAATTCCTTAAATCTTTCCATATTTTTCAACATCATGTTTTCATTTGAATTTTTCAATTTTATTGGATTTTTCAATTTTTTTGAATTTTTTGAACATGTTTCATTTTTTAGAAATTTTTGAATTTTTATTTTGATTTTATTATCATGTTTTTTGAATTTTTTTTAAATCCTTTTTTACACTTCGCAGTTTATCAAGTTTTATTGAATTTTTCAAGTTTTGAATTTTTTTGATTTGGTCAAGTTCTAAAAATTTTTGAAATTTCTTAAATCTTTGCACATTTTTCAACTTACATAATATTATGTTTTTTTTTGAATTTTTCAATTTTGTTGAATTTTTCAATATTTTTTAATTTTTTTGAATTTGAATTTTTTGAACATTTTAAATTTTTCTAGAAATTTTTGAATTTTCCTTGTTTTTTGAAATCTTTAAAATCCTTCCATTTTCTAATTTGAATGTTTATTTTGACTTTTTTTCTAAGTTTTGAATTTTTTTGAATTGCCACATTTATGAATTTTTTGGACATTTTAAATTTTCTAGAAATTTTTTAATTTTTCATGTTTTTTGATTTTTTTTTAAATTTTCTGAACTTTTTAAAATTTTTAAATTTCTTAATTTTTTTATATTTTTTTCCCTTTTACAATTATTTTTTTTCATTGTTCTTTTTCTGAGAAAATTTTTTTCCGGCGTGTTTTTTCTTAAAAAAAATTTTTCCGGCGTTAATTTTCTTAGAATATTTTTTTTAAATAATTTTTTTTCCTCTCTACAATTGTTTTTTTCCGGCGTTTTTTTTTCATAGAAAAATTTTTTTTGCCGTTAATTTTCTTAGATAATTTTTTTTTATATTTTTTTTTTCCCTTTTAAAACTATTTTTTTTCAGCGTTCTTTTTCTTAGAAAATTTATTACCGGCGTTTTTCTCTCAGAAAATTTTTTTCTGCCGTTAATTCTCTTAGATTATTTTTTTAATATTTTTTTCCCTTTTACAATTATTTTTTTTCGGCGTTTTTTTTCTTAGAAAAATTTTTTTCGGCGCGAATTTTCTTAAATTATTTTTTTTTAGAATTTTTTCCCTTTTAAAATTATTTTTTTTTCGACGTTCTTTTACTTAGGAAATTTTTTTCCAGCGTTTTTGTTCTTGAAAAATTTTTTTCCGGCGTTTTTTTTCTTAGAAAAATTTTTTCTGCCGTTAATTTTCTTAGATTATTTTTTTTTATATATTTTTTTTTCCTTTTAAAATTATTTTTTTTCAGCATTCTTTTTCTTAGAAAATTTTTTTCCAGCGTTTTTTTCTGCCGTTAATTCTCTTAGATAATTTTTTTTATATTTTTTTCCCTTTAACAATTATTTTTTTTCGGCGTTTTTTTTTCTTAGAAAAATTTTTTCCGACGCGGATTTTCTTAAATTATTTTTTTTTAGAATTTTTTCCCTTTTAAAAATTTTTTTTTTCGACGTTCTTTTACATAGGAAATTTTTTCCAGCGTTTTTTTTCTTAGAAAATTTTTTTCTGCCATTAATTTTCTTGGATTATTTTTTTTTATATATTTTTTTCCCTTTTACAATTTTTTTTTTCAGCGTTCTTTTTCTTAGAAAACTTTTTTCCGGCGTTTTTTTATTTTAAAAAAAAATGTTCCGGCGTTAATTTTCTTAGATTATTTTTTTAAAATAATTTTTTCCTTTTTACAATTATTTTTTTCCGGCGTTTTTTTTAAATTGTTTTAATTTCTTTAAATTTATGTTAATTTAAGTGATTTTTTTTTCAATTTTGTGAATTTCGTAAATTTTTTTTTTTCAAGTTTTTTGAATTTTATGAATTTTTTTCACTTTTGAGAATTTTGTGATTATTTTTTTGTTTTTTTTTTTATTTTTGTGAACTTATCAATTTTGTGTACTTATTAAGTTTTGTAAATTTTTGTGGATTTTTTCCACTTTTCAAATTTATATGAATTTTGTGATTTTTTATTTAAAATTTTATGAATCTCTGTAAATTTACCAATTTTGTAAACTTTTTTCAAATTTAAAAATTGTGTGAATTTTTTTTCACTTTTGAAAATTTTGTAATTTTTTTTTTTAATTTCATAATTTTTGTGAATTTATCAATTTTCTGAATTTTGTACGTCATAAAAATTTTCAACATTTTTGAAATTTTTTTTGATTTTTGAAAATTTTTGAGATTTTCGGAAATTTAAAATTTTTTTATGATTTTTATGATTTTTGAAAATTTTTGTGATTTTTGGAAATTTTTATGAATTTAAATTTTTTTTATAATTTTTGTGATTTTTCAAATTTTTATATGTAATTTTTGTTCTTTTCGGACAAACATTTTTTGTGCATTTTTATGATTTTTAGAAATTTTCATTTTGATCAAATTTTGGAAATGTTTCATGATTTTTTAAAATTTTTAAGATTTTCGGAATTTTTATGAATTTTAAATTTTTTTTATGATTTTTATAATTTTTGAAAATTTTTGTGATTTTAGTTTTTTTAAAATTTACAAAATTATTTTTTTTTAATTTTTTACATTCCTTGAATTTTTTCCATTTTTTCGGGTTTATTAAGTCATTATAATTTTTTTTTTGGATCTGTCCAATTTTTTGATTTTTTTTGAATTTTTCCAATCTTATTTTTTTTAAAAATTTTCGAGATTTTCATATTTTTTTGAATTTTTTTTATAATTTTGAATTTTTTGATTTTTATGAATTTTTTTGGATTTGTCCAATTTTTTTGATTTTTTCTGGATTTTTTAATTTTTTTGAATTTTTCAAGTCTTGAATTTTTTTTATACATATTTTCGAGTAAAGTTTTTTTGATTTTCTTTCATATTTTTGATATTTGTTTAGTTTTTTGAATTTTTTGGTTTACATTTTTGAATTTTTTTACAATTTTAATTTTTTTTTGAATACATATTTTCAATTTTTTCGAGTTTATTGGGTTTTTATGAATTTTAAATTTTTATTTTGAATTTGTCCAGTTTTTGAATTTTTGAATTCTTTTAATTCTATGATATTCTTGACTTTTTTTTTGGATTTTTAAAATTTTTTGAATTTCATTTTCTTTTTTAAATCTTCGAGTTTTTCAAGTTCATTTCAAATTCAAGACTAGAAAAATTCAAAAAAATTTAAAAATACAAAAAATCAAATAACTGGACAAATCCAAAATAATTTATGAATATGAAAAAAATTCAAAAAAACTTGAAAAAATTCAAACATTCAAAAAACTGAACAAATATAAAAAAATATCAAAAATATGGAAAATATTTTTAAAAAAACTTGAAAAACTCGAAGATTTAAACAGAAAATAAAATTCAAAAAAAAATCAAGATACATATCATAGAATTAAAAGAATTCAAAAATTCAAAAACTGGACAAATCCAAAAAAAAAAATTTAAAATTCATAAAAACCCAATAAACTCGAAAAAATTAAAAATATTCAAAAAAAAATTAAAATTTTAAAAAAACTCAAAAAATATGAAAAAAAAATCAAAAAAACTTTACTCGAAAATATGTATAAAAAAAATTCAAGACTTGAAAAATTCAAAAAAATTAAAAAATCCAGAAAAAATAAAAAAAATTGGACAAATCCAAAAAAATTCATAAAAATCAAAAAATTCAAAAATTTTTCCGGCGTGAATTTTCATAGATTATTTTTTTTAAATAATTTTTTCCTTTCTACAATTTTTTTTTTCCGGCGTTTTTTTTCTTAGAAAAATTTTTTCCGCCGTCAATTTTCTTAGATTATTTTTTTATATATTTTTTTCCCTTTTACAATTATTTTTTTTCAGCGTTTTTTTTCTTAGAAAATTTTTTTCCGGCGTTTTTTTCCTTAAAAATTTTTTTTCCGGCGTTAATTTTCTTAGATTATTGTTTATAATAATTTTTTTTTTTCTACAATTATTTTTTTCCGGCGTTTTTTTTTTTAGAAAATTTTTTTCCAACCAACAACCGAAAACCATTAACCAACAACCAAAACCCATTGCAACCATTGACAAAAAGAAACCTTCAAAAAAATCAACCAGTCAAATTTTAGAAGAAGAAAATCAACGTTTGACGCACCGGGCGATGCAAACCGAAAGAGAAGAAGACTTATCCAGGCTCTACGACACTGGAGTAATCAAATATCCAAGCCCCGGAGTAGGTAGAACCTCCAAACAACCGCCTCAAACTGGCCAAGGCGATCACTTAACCAAACCTCAAAAAAGTCAACTACCGCAAAACTATCAAAGAGGAGTTTTACCCAAATACCTAAGAGACCGCAAAGAGGAATCTGCAATTCCAGAACCCGACAACGAATGCCCTTCTGGCCATGTTCTTTTACCCGAAGAAGAGCGCAAAGAAACCTTAAGAGTCCTACGACAAAGCTACGCCGATAGGATTCAGGAGCTCAACATGATGCCAGTAAGAAATGACACGTTGAAAATGAAAAAGAGGAAAATGGAAATTGAAGAGGAACTGAAACGAATCGACGGCGGCATTAAAGTATTCCAAAGGCCTAAAGTCTATGTAAAAATAAACGCTTGAATTATTTTATTGTTTTATTTTCCCTAAGCCAGGCCTCGTAGTCAAATTCTGGAAAAAATAGTCCTATTTCCCTTTTAGCTGATTCGGGGGAATCTAAAAATAAGGGAGGTTATGTGTGTAGGCAATCCAATCCATCTGTCAAAAGAGAAAATTCAATATGGCGTGACGGCATTGTTAGATGTCAAATAAAATTATCAGGATTTTGAGAACAAAATTATCAAAATTCCAAGAAAAATTATTAGAAAAGGTTTTTGTCAAAAAAACTGTCAGAAATTTCACAAATTTAATTGTCAAGAAACATTCAATTGTCAAAAAAAAGTTTAACAATTTAATTATAGTTTTTTTTTTCTATTTGTTAACATTTGACACTTTTTACAGTTTTTTTGATTTTTGAAATTTTTGACAGTTTTGACAATTTATTTTGTGTGTTGACATTTAACAATTTTGAAAGATTTATTTATTGACATTTTGGACAGTTTTTTATTTTTTGACATTTTTGAAAATTTTTCATTTATCGACCTTTTTGATAGTTTTTTTCTATTTATTGACATTTAGGACAGTTTTTTTATTCATCAGCATATTTGACAGGTATTTCATTTATTGACACTTCTGACAACTTTTTTTATTGATTGGCATTTTTGTTAGTTTTTTAATTTATTTACATTTTGACAATTGTTTTGTTAATCAACATTTGACAATTGTTCCATTAATTGACATTTAACAATTGTTTCATTAGTTGACAATTGATAGTTATTTTGTTTTTGACATTTGACAGTTTTTTTGCTGACATTTTTTTCACTAGTTGACATTCAACAATTGTTTTGTCTATTGACATTTACTTTCCACCGTTTTTTTTTTTATTTTTTGAAATTTTTGACAGATTTTTATTTCTTGACATTTCTGACATTTTTTTTTATTTATTGACATTTTACAGGTTTTTTTCATATATTGACATTTTTGACAATTTTTCGATTATTGAGATTTTTAAATTTTTCTTTTATTGACATTTCTGACAATTTTTCTCAATTCAAACATGTCAAAAAACAAAAGAAACAGTCAAAAATGATAATAAATAAAAAATTGTCAAAAATGTCAATAAATACAAAAAAACTGTTAAAAATGTCAATAAATACAAAAAATCGTTAGAAATGTCAATAAATAAAATAACTGTCATAAATGAAAAAAAACTGTAAAAAATATCAAAAAAATCGAAAATGTTAATAAACAAACAGAAAAAGTGTCAAAAATGTCAATAAATAAAAATCTGTCAAGAATTTTAAAAAATAGAAAAAAAACCGTCAACAATGTCAATATACAAAGCAATTGTTAAATGTCAACTGATGGAATAATTGTCAAATGTCAACAAATGAAACAATTGTCAAAAATGTCAACAAACTAAACAAAAATCAAATATTGTTAACAATTGAAATAAATGTCATATTATATCAATAAACAAAAATCGATTGTCAAAATGTAAATAAATGAAAAAAATTGTCAAAAATGCCAAACAATGAAAAAAGTTGTCAGAAGAATGAATGAAAAAACTATCTAAAATGTTAATAAATAAACTTTCAAATGTTAATTAACATATAAACTATTAAAATTATTTCCAAATGTCAATAAACGCAACAACTGTCAAATGTCATTGAACAAAATAATTGTCAAATGTCAACAAACAAAACAACTACGAATTGTCAAAAACGTCAAAATAAGTAATGTTTTTATTATATTACAGCGTTGCCACTGTTTGTATTTTTTTTGAGAATTTTTAAATTTCGTGTTATAGGCTTGTGAGTCTGTTTTTTGGATTTTTTATTTGTCAAAAATGTCAAAATAAGTGAAGTTTTTATTATTTTACAGCGTTGCCACTGTTTGTATTTTTTCTGGGAATTTTTAAATTTCGTGTTTTAGGCTTGTGAGTCTGTTTTTTGGATTTTTTAATTGTCAAAAACCTCAAAATAAGTGAAGTTTTTATTATTTTACAGCGTTGCCACTGTTTGTATTTTTTCTGGGAATTTTTAAATTTCGTGTTTTAGGCTTGTGAGTCTGTTTTTTGGATTTTTTAATTGTCAAAAATGTCAAAATAAGTGAAGTTTTTATTATTTCACAGCGTTGCCACTGTTTGTATTTTTTCTGGGAATTTTTAAATTTCGTGTTTTAGGCTTGTGAGTCTGTTTTTTGGATTTTTTAATTGTCAAAAATGTCAAAATAAGTGAAGTTTTTAATATTCCACAGCGTTGCCACTGTTTGTATTTTTTTTTGGGAATTTTTAAATTTCGTGTTTTAGGCTTGTGAGTCTGTTTTTTGGATTTTTTAATTGTCAAGAATGTCAAAATAAGTGAAGTTTTTATTATTTCACAGCGTTGCCACTGTTTGTATTTTTTCTGGGAATTTTTAAATTTCGTGTTATAGGCTTGTGAGTCTGTTTTTTGGATTTTTTAATTGTCAAAAACGTCAAAATAAGTGAAGTTTTTATTATTTTACAGCGTTGCCACTGTTTGTATTTTTTTTTTTGGGAATTTTTAAATTTCGTGTTATAGGCTTGTGAGTCTGGTTTTTGGATTTTTTAAATGTCAAAAACGTCAAAATAAGTAATGTTTTTATTATATTACAGCGTTGCCACTGTTTGTATTTTTTTTGAGAATTTTTAAATTTCGTGTTATAGGCTTGTGAGTCTGGTTTTTGGATTTTTAAAATGTCAAAAACGTCAAAATAAGTAATGTTTTTATTATATTACAGCGTTGCCACTGTTTGTATTTTTTTTGAGAATTTTTAAATTTCGTGTTATAGGCTTGTGAGTCTGTTTTTTGATTTTTTTAAATGTCAAAAACGTCAAAATAAGTGAAGTTTTTATTATTTTACAGCGTTGCCACTGTTTGTATTTTTTCTGGGAATTTTTAAATTTCGTGTTATAGGCTTGTGAGTCTGTTTTTTGGATTTTTTAATTGTCAAAAACGTCAAAATAAGTGAAGTTTTTATTATTTTACAGCGTTGCCACTGTTTGTATTTTTTTTTGGGAATTTTTAAATTTCGTGTTATAGGCTTGTGAGTCTGGTTTTTGGATTTTTTAAATGTCAAAAACGTCAAAATAAGTAATGTTTTTATTATATTACAGCGTTGCCACTGTTTGTATTTTTTTTGAGAATTTTTAAATTTCGTGTTATAGGCTTGTGAGTCTGTTTTTTGATTTTTTTAATTTTCAAAAACGTCAAAATAAGTGAAATTTTTATTATTTTATAGCGTTGCCACTGTTTGTATTTTTTCTGGGAATTTTTAAATTTCGTGTTTTAGGCTTGTGAGTCTGTTTTTTGGATTTTTTAATTGTCAAAAATGTCAAAATAAGTGAAGTTTTTATTATTTCACAGCGTTGCCACTGTTTGTATTTTTTCTGGGAATTTTTAAATTTCGTATTATAGGCTTGAGAGTTTGTTTTTTGGATTTTTTAATTGTCAAAAACGTCAAAATAAGTGAAGTTTTTATTATTTTACAGCGTTGCCACTGTTTGTATTTTTTTTTGGGAATTTTTAAATTTCGTATTATAGGCTTGTGAGTCTGGTTTTTGGATTTTTAAAATGTCAAAAACGTCAAAATAAGTAATGTTTTTATTATATTACAGCGTTGCCACTGTTTGTTTTTTTTTTGAGAATTTTTAAATTTCGTGTTATAGGCTTGTGAGTCTGTTTTTTGATTTTTTCTAATTGTCAAAAACGTCAAAATAAGTGAAGTTTTTATTATTTCACAGCGTTGCCACTGTTTGTATTTTTTCTGAGAATTTTTAAATTTCGTGTTATAGGCTTGTGAGTCTGTTTTTTGGATTTTTTAATTGTCAAAAGTGTCAAAATAAGTGAAGTTTTTATTATTTCACAGCGTTGCCACTGTTTGTATTTTTTCTGAGAATTTTTAAATTTCGTATTATAGGCTTGTGAGTCTGTTTTTTGGATTTTTTAATTGTCAAAAACGTCAAAATAAGTGAAGTTTTTATTATTTTACAGCGTTGCCACTGTTTGTATTTTTTTTTTGGGAATTATTAAATTTCGTGTTATAGGCTTGTGAGTCTGTTTTTTGGATTTTTTAAATGTCAAAAACGTCAAAATAAGTAATGTTTTTATTATATTACAGCGTTGCCACTGTTTGTATTTTTTTTGAGAATTTTTAAATTTCGTGTTATAGGCTTGTGAGTCTGTTTTTTGATTTTTTTAATTTTCAAAAACGTCAAAATAAGTGAAATTTTTATTATTTTATAGCGTTGCCACGTTTGTATTTTTTCTGAGAATTTTTAAATTTCGTGTTATAGGCTTGTAAGTCTGTTTTTTGGATTTTTTAATTGTCAAAAACGTCAAAATAAGTGAAGTTTTTATTATTTTACAGCGTTGCCACTGTTTGTATTTTTTTTTTGGGAATTTTTAAATTTCGTGTTATAGGCTTGTGAGTCTGTTTTTAGGATTTTTTAATTGTCAAAAACCTCAAAATAAGTAATGTTTTTATTATTTTACAGCGTTGCCACTGTTTGTATTTTTTCTGGGAATTTTTAAATTTCGTGTTTTAGGCTTGTGAGTCTGTTTTTTGGATTTTTTAATTGTCAAAAATGTCAAAATAAGTGAAGTTTTTATTATTTCACAGCGTTGCCACTGTTTGTATTTTTTCTGGGAATTTTTAAATTTCGTGTTTTAGGCTTGTGAGTCTGTTTTTTGGATTTTTTAAATGTCAAAAACGTCAAAATAAGTAATGTTTTTATTATATTACAGCGTTGCCACTGTTTGTATTTTTTTTGAGAATTTTTAAATTTCGTGTTATAGGCTTGTGAGTCTGTTTTTTGGATTTTTTAATTGTCAAAAATGTCAAAATAAGTGAAGTTTTTATTATTTTACAGCGTTGCCACTGTTTGTATTTTTTTTGAGAATTTTTAAATTTCGTGTTATAGGCTTGTGAGTCTGGTTTTTGGATTTTTAAATGTCAAAAACGTCAAAATAAGTAATGTTTTTATTATATTACAGCGTTGCCACTGTTTGTATTTTTTTTGAGAATTTTTAAATTTCGTGTTATAGGCTTGTGAGTCTGTTTTTTGATTTTTTTAATTTTCAAAAACGTCAAAATAAGTGAAATTTTTATTATTTTATAGCGTTGCCACTGTTTGTATTTTTTCTGGGAATTTTTAAATTTCGTGTTTTAGGCTTGTGAGTCTGTTTTTTGGATTTTTTAATTGTCAAAAATGTCAAAATAAGTGAAGTTTTTATTATTTCACAGCGTTGCCACTGTTTGTATTTTTTCTGGGAATTTTTAAATTCGTATTATAGGCTTGAGAGTTTGTTTTTTGGATTTTTTAATTGTCAAAAACGTCAAAATAAGTGAAGTTTTTATTATTTTACAGCGTTGCCACTGTTTGTATTTTTTTTTGGGAATTTTTAAATTTCGTATTATAGGCTTGTGAGTCTGGTTTTTGGATTTTTAAAATGTCAAAAACGTCAAAATAAGTAATGTTTTTATTATATTACAGCGTTGCCACTGTTTGTTTTTTTTTTGAGAATTTTTAAATTTCGTGTTATAGGCTTGTGAGTCTGTTTTTTGATTTTTCTAATTGTCAAAAACGTCAAAATAAGTGAAGTTTTTATTATTTCACAGCGTTGCCACTGTTTGTATTTTTTCTGAGAATTTTTAAATTTCGTGTTATAGGCTTGTGAGTCTGTTTTTTGGATTTTTTAATTGTCAAAAGTGTCAAAATAAGTGAAGTTTTTATTATTTCACAGCGTTGCCACTGTTTGTATTTTTTCTGAGAATTTTTAAATTTCGTATTATAGGCTTGTGAGTCTGTTTTTTGGATTTTTTAATTGTCAAAAACGTCAAAATAAGTGAAGTTTTTATTATTTTACAGCGTTGCCACTGTTTGTATTTTTTTTTTGGGAATTATTAAATTTCGTGTTATAGGCTTGTGAGTCTGGTTTTTGGATTTTTTAAATGTCAAAAACGTCAAAATAAGTGAAATTTTTATTATTTTACAGCGTTGCCACTACTTGTATTTTTTCTTGTGATTTTTAAATTTCGTGTTATAGGCTTGTGAGTCTGTTTTTAGAATTTTTTAATTGTCAAAAACCTCAAAATAAGTGAAGTTTTTATTATTTTACAGCGTTGCCACTGTTTGTATTTTTTCTGGGAATTTTTAAATTTCGTGTTTTAGGCTTGTGAGTCTGTTTTTTGGATTTTTTAATTGTCAAAAATGTCAAAATAAGTGAAGTTTTTATTATTTCACAGCGTTGCCACTGTTTGTATTTTTTTTTTGGGAATTTTTAAATTTCGTGTTATAGGCTTGTGAGTCTGGTTTTTGGATTTTTTAAATGTCAAAAACGTCAAAATAAGTAATGTTTTTATTATATTACAGCGTTGCCACTGTTTGTATTTTTTTTGAGAATTTTTAAATTTCGTGTTATAGGCTTGTGAGTCTGTTTTTTGGATTTTTTAATTGTCAAAAATGTCAAAATAAGTGAAGTTTTTATTATTTTACAGCGTTGCCACTGTTTGTATTTTTTCTTAGTATTTTTAAATTTCGTGTTATAGGCTTGTGAGTCTGTTTTTTGGATTTTTTAATTGTCAAAAACGTCAAAATAAGTGAAGTTTTTATTATTTTACAGCGTTGCCACTGTTTGTATTTTTTTTTTGGGAATTTTTAAATTTCGTGTTATAGGCTTGTGAGTCTGTTTTTAGGATTTTTTAATTGTCAAAAACCTCAAAATAAGTAATGTTTTTATTATTTTACAGCGTTGCCACTGTTTGTATTTTTTCTGGGAATTTTTAAATTTCGTGTTTTAGGCTTGTGAGTCTGTTTTTTGGATTTTTTAATTGTCAAAAATGTCAAAATAAGTGAAGTTTTTATTATTTCACAGCGTTGCCACTGTTTGTATTTTTTTTTTGGGAATTTTTAAATTTCGTGTTATAGGCTTGTGAGTCTGGTTTTTGGATTTTTTAAATGTCAAAAACGTCAAAATAAGTAATGTTTTTATTATATTACAGCGTTGCCACTGTTTGTATTTTTTTTTTGGGAATTTTTAAATTTCGTGTTATAGGCTTGTGAGTTTGTTTTTTGGATTTTTTTAATTGTCAAAAACGTCAAAATAAGTGAAATTTTTATTATTTTACAGCGTTGCCACTACTTGTATTTTTTCTTGTAATTTTTAAATTTCGTGTTATAGGCTTGTGAGTCTGTTTATTAAATTTTTTAATTGTCAAAAACGTCAAAATAAGTGAAGTTTTTATTATTTTACAGCGTTGCCACTGTTTGTATTTTTTCTGGGAATTTTTAAATTTCGTGTTTTAGGCTTGTGAGTCTGTTTTTTGGATTTTTTAATTGTCAAAAACGTCAAAATAAGTGAAGTTTTTATTATTTCACAGCGTTGCCACTGTTTGTATTTTTTTTTTGGGAATTTTTAAATTTCGTGTTATAGGCTTGTGAGTCTGGTTTTTGGATTTTTTAAATGTCAAAAACGTCAAAATAAGTAATGTTTTTATTATATTACAGCGTTGCCACTGTATTTTTTTTTTGGGAATTTTTAAATTTCGTGTTATAGGCTTGTGAGTCTGTTTTTTGATTTTTTTAATTGTCAAAAACGACAAAATAAGTGAAATTTTTATTATTTTACAGCGTTGCCACTGTTTGTATTTTTTCTGAGAATTTTTAAATTTCGTGTTTTCGGCTTGTGAGTCTGTTTTTTGGTTTTTTTAATTGTCAAAAATGTCAAAATAAGTGTAGTTTTTATTATTTTACAGCGTTGCCACTGTTTGTATTTTTTCTGAGAATTTTTAAATTTCGTGTTATAGGCTTGTGAGTCTGTTTTTTGGATTTTTTAATTGTCAAAAACGTCAAAATAAGTGAAGTTTTTATTATTTTACAGCGTTGCCACTGTATTTTTTTTTGGGAATTTTTAAATTTCGTGTTTTAGGCTTGTGAGTCTGTTTTTTGGATTTTTTAATTGTCAAAAACGTCAAAATAAGTGAAGTTTTTATTATTTTACAGCGTTGCCACTGTATTTTTTTTTTTGGGAATTTTTAAATTTCGTGTTATAGGCTTGTGAGTCTGTTTTTTGATTTTTTTAATTGTCAAAAACGACAAAATAAGTGAAATTTTTATTATTTTACAGCGTTGCCACTGTTTGTATTTTTTCTGAGAATTTTTAAATTTCGTGTTTTCGGCTTGTGAGTCTGTTTTTTGGTTTTTTTAATTGTCAAAAATGTCAAAATAAGTGTAGTTTTTATTATTTTACAGCGTTGCCACTGTTTGTATTTTTTCTGAGAATTTTTAAATTTCGTGTTATAGGCTTGTGAGTCTGTTTTTTGGATTTTTTAATTGTCAAAAACGTCAAAATAAGTGAAGTTTTTATTATTTTACAGCGTTGCCACTGTATTTTTTTTTTGGGAATTTTTAAATTTCGTGTTATAGGCTTGTGAGTCTGTTTTTTGATTTTTTTAATTGTCAAAAACGATAAAATAAGTGAAATTTTTATTATTTTACAGCGTTGCCACTGTTTGTATTTTTTCTTGCAATTTTTAAATTTCGTGTTTTAGGCTTGTGAGTCTGTTTTTTGGATTTTTTAATTGTCAAAAATGTCAAAATAAGTGAAGTTTTTAATATTCCACAGCGTTGCCACTGTTTGTATTTTTTTTTGCAATTTTTAAATTTCGTATTTTAGGCTTGTGAGTCTGTTTTTTGGATTTTTTAATTGTCAAAAATGTCAAAATAAGTGAAGTTTTTATTATTTTACAGCGTTGCCACTGTTTGTATTTTTTCTGGGAATTTTTAAATTTCGTGTTATAGGCTTGTGAGTTAAAAAATACAAAAATTTACGAAAAAAAAAAAAAAAAAATACATACGATAATTTTAAAAAATCGCAAACATACTAAAATTAACGAAAATCGCAAAAAATCCAAAAAATATTTGCAAAAAAAGCCAAAGATTAAAAGGAAAATACAAAAAATTGTAAAAATACGAAAAATATTATAATTTACTAAAATACAAAAAACATGAAAAATCCAAAAATTTACGAAAGTTGCAAAAAAAATACCTACGATGTTGATAATTACAAAAAACCGCAAAAATACAATGACTTCATTTCGGAAGATAGTGTCATACAGATTATTTAGACAACAGGTAAAAATGTTGTTGCTTGAAAAGGCATATTATAGCATGGAGGAATACTTCCTTGACCATTTTTAGATTTTTACATTTACATTTTTATGTTTGTCTTGTAACATATTCAGGCCTATGATGTATCATTTTCTGTTATTTTAACAGCAACGTTAAGTTATCTGTCACTGTTTATTATATTCGTCAAAATTGAGACAGGAATAGATGTTGAGCCTTAACACAGCCGTTAAAATAACAGGACAGGATATATTATTTTATTTTATTTTATATAGTATGCTTGTATAGTTTATATTCTTAGCACTAAGTTTGGCTTTGTCTACAACATTTGTATTTCTGACAATAAAGCATATTTGATTTGATTTGTACCCTAAACTATTAAATCGGGCAGAAACTAAATATTTTTTTTTTTTTTTTGTGTTTTTTGGCCCATGTGTGACCGCCACGCCATCTTGAATGTCACTTGGTTTGGATTGCCTAATAACTAAAGGTGGGTTTATACAGTCACGTAACATAACATGAGATAAAAAGTTGATTTTATGGAAACTTCTTATGGCGTTTATACAGAAAATAACATAACATAAGAAATAAGAAAGTTGGTTCACTTTTAACTTATAGTGTTTTCGGTAGAGTTTACATAAGTACCTACATATATCAGCTGATTGGTTAGAAATTATTTCTTATGTTATTTTCTGTATAAATACTACAAAATTCTTATTATATTATGTTATGTCTTATTTCTTATATTATATTATGTGCTGTATAAACCCACCTTAACTAAATATTACCTGATCCATGTGTAGCATTTCTCGTATCACTCAAACCATATTTACCTCTAATAGTAAGCGGAGCCTCAAATTGTGCCTTATAAACCTTTGTAGGCCCCATCAATTCCCGCCAGTCTTTAATAGCGTTTTCTTTAGCCAAAATATAAAAATCCGATTGGCCGCTGGTCATGAAACCAACCAATCGACCGTAGAAAAACTTGTACCTGTGTTCAGCGTAGAAAGTTTCGGCTTCTTGGACCGTAACGGCCTTCCTCAGGGATTTGACGATTATAAAACGTGAGTCGAGGATTAGTTGTTTGATGTCTCGCAAAGCTACGGTGTTTTTGATTATGTGCGGTTTAATTACGGCCAATGTAAGTTGCAACATTTTTTGAATTTCGAGGACATAACCTCACTCTTCTTTTTTTTGTTTTGTTTTGAATGGAATGAAAAATGTTTGCGTCTTCTTTTTTTTTTTGTTAGTAAAAGTGAATTGTCAAACATGGGTGATTCAATATGGCCGTTTGGGTCACTCTTCTTTTTTTTTGTTAATGGCGTGAAAAATGTTTGCGTCTTCTTTTTTTTTTTTTTGTTAGTAGAAGTGAATTGTCAAACATGGTGATTCAATATGGCCGTTTGGGTCACTCTTCTTATTTTTTTTTAATGGCGTGAAAAATGTTTGCGTTCTTTTTTTTTGTTAGTAGAAGTGAATTGTCAAACGTGATTCAATATGGCCGTTTGGGTGACTCTTCTTTTTTTAGTGAACTGTCAAACGTGATTCAATATGGCCGTTCGGGTCACTCTTCTTTTTTTTTTGTTTTGTTTTGATTGCGCAAAAAATGTTTGCGTCTTCTTTTTTTTTTTTTGTTAGTAGAAGTGAATTGTCAAACGTGATTCAATATGGTCGTTTGGGTATTTTCGATACTTCAATCTGATTCACAATTTGATTCTCTACAAGATGGAAAAGTTTCATTCGATTATTTTCAGTGATTCTTGAGATATTGAGCTTTGAAGTTTCTAACCCGATATCGAAAATTTTCGATAGTCCAGAAATCGATAATTCTGATTTAGAATTTGATTCTCTACAAGGTGGAAAAAAGTTTAATTAAATCAAAAATTGACATCTAGCTCAGAATCTGAGCTACAACTTTGAAGTTCAATATCTCGAGAACCGCTCAAGATATCTAAATAAAACTTTTCCCATCTTAAAGAGCATCAAATTCTGAATCAAATTAAATCGATTCCTGAACTATCGAAAATTTTCGATACTTCAATCTGATTCAAAATTTTTTTCTCTACAAAATAGAAAAAGTTTCATTCGATTATCTTGAGCGGTTCTTGAGATATTGAACTTAGTATCGGTATCGAAAATCTTCGATAATTTGGAAATCGATAGTTCTGATTCAGAATTTGATTCTATACAAGATGGAAAAAAATTTATTCGATTATCTTGAGCGCTTCTTGAGATATTGAACTTTGTATCGATATCAAAAATTCTCGATAGTTTGAAAATCGATTATTCTGATTCAGAATTTGATTTTCTACAAGATGGAAAAAGTTTCATTCGATTATCTTTAAACGGTTTTTGAGATATTGAGCTTTGAAGTTGTAGCTCAGATCCAGAATTCGGTATCGAAAATTTTCGATAATTTGGAATCGATAATTCTGATTCAGAATTTGATTAAAAAAGTCTCATTTGAAAATTTGAAAAAACTAACCCAAATATTGACATCTGGCTCAAAATCTGAGCTACAACTTTGAAACTCGATATTTCGAAAACCGTTCAAAATATCTAAATGAAACTTTTATCATCTCAAAGAGCAACAAATTCTGAATCAGATTAAATCGATTTCCAAAATATCGAAAATTTTCGATACTTCAATCTGATTCAAAATTTTATTCTCTACAAAATAGAAAAAGTTTCATTCGATTATCTTGAGCGGTTCTTGAGATATTGAACTTGGTATCGGTATCGAAAATCTTCGATAATTTGGAAATCGATAGTTCTGATTCAGAATTTGATTTTCTACAAGATAAAAAAACTTTCATTCGATTATCTTGAACGGTTTTTGAGATATTGAGCTTCGAAGTTGTAGCTCAGATCCAGAATTCGGTATCGAAAATTTTCGATAATTTGGAATCGATAATTCTGATTCAGAATTTGATTAAAAAAGTCTCATTTGAAAATTTGAAAAAACTAACCCAAATATTGACATCTGGCTCAAAATCTGAGCTACAACTTTGAAACTCGATATTTCGAAAACCGTTCAAAATATCTAAATGAAACTTTTATCATCTCAAAGAGCAACAAATTCTGAATCAGATTAAATCGATTTCCAAAATATCGAAAATTTTCGATACTTCAATTTGATTCAGAATTTGATTCTTTACAAGATGGAAAAGTTTCATTCGATTATTTTGATTGGTTCTTGAGATATTGAGCTTTGAAGTTTCTGAACCCGATATCGAAAATTTTCGATAGTTCAGAAATCGATAATTCTGATTTAGAATTTTATTCTCTACAAGATGGAAAAAAGTTTAATTAAATCAAAAATTGACATCTAGCTCAGAATCTGAGCTACAACTTTGAAGTTCAATATCTCGAGAACCGCTCAAGATATCTAAATAAAACTTCCCATCTTAAAAAGCCTTAAATTTTTGAATCAAATTAAATCGATTCCTGAACTATCGAAAATTTTCGATACTTCAATCTGATTCAAAATTTTATTCTCTACAACATAGAAAAAGTTTCATTCGATTATCTTGAGCGGTTCTTGAGATATTGAACTTAGTATCGGTATCGAAAATCTTCGATAATTTGGAAATCGATAGTTCTGATTCAGAATTTGATTTTCTACAAGATAAAAAAACTTTCATTCGATTATCTTGAACGGTTTTTGAGATATTGAGCTTCGAAGTTGTAGCTCAGATCCAGAATTCGGTATCGAAAATTTTCGATAATTTGGAATCGATAATTCTGATTCAGAATTTGATTAAAAAAGTCTCATTTGAAAATTTGAAAAAACTAACCCAAATATTGACATCTGGCTCAAAATCTGAGCTACAACTTTGAAACTCGATATTTCGAAAACCGTTCAAAATATCTAAATGAAACTTTTATCATCTCAAAGAGCAACAAATTCTGAATCAGATTAAATCGATTTCCAAAATATCGAAAATTTTCGATACTTCAATTTGATTCAGAATTTGATTCTTTACAAGATGGAAAAGTTTCATTCGATTATTTTGATTGGTTCTTGAGATATTGAGCTTTGAAGTTTCTGAACCCGATATCGAAAATTTTCGATAGTTCAGAAATCGATAATTCTGATTTAGAATTTTATTCTCTACAAGATGGAAAAAAGTTTAATTAAATCAAAAATTGACATCTAGCTCAGAATCTGAGCTACAACTTTGAAGTTCAATATCTCGAGAACCGCTCAAGATATCTAAATAAAACTTTTCTCATCTTAAAGAGCATCAAATTCTGAATCAAATTAAATCGATTCCTGAACTATCGAAAATTTTCGATACTTCAATCTGATTCAAAATTTTATTCTCTACAAAATAGAAAAAGTTTCATTCGATTATCTTGAGCGGTTCTTGAGATATTGAACTTAGTATCGGTATCGAAAATCTTCGATAATTTGGAAATCGATAGTTCTGATTCAGAATTTGATTTTCTACAAGATGGAAAAAGTTTCATTCGATTATCTTGAACGGTTTTTGAGATATTGAGCTTCGAAGTTGTAGCTCAGATCCAGAATTCGGTATCGAAAATTTTCGATAATTTGGAATCGATAATTCTGATTCAGAATTTGATTAAAAAAGTCTCATTTGAAAATTTGAAAAAACTAACCCAAATATTGACATCTGGCTCAAAATCTGAGCTACAACTTTGAAACTCGATATTTCGAAAACCGTTCAAAATATCTAAATGAAACTTTTATCATCTCAAAGAGCAACAAATTCTGAATCAGATTAAATCGATTTCCAAAATATCGAAAATTTTCGATACTTCAATTTGATTCAGAATTTGATTCTTTACAAGATGGAAAAGTTTCATTCGATTATTTTGATTGGTTCTTGAGATATTGAGCTTTGAAGTTTCTAACCCGATATCGAAAATTTTCGATAGTTCAGAAATCGATAATTCTGATTTAGAATTTTATTCTCTACAAGATGGAAAAAAAGTTTAATTAAATCAAAAATTGACATCTGGCTCAGAATCTGAGCTACAACTTTGAAGTTCAATATCTCGAGAACCGCTCAAGATATCTAAATAAAACTTTTCCCATCTGAAAGAGCATCAAATTCTGAATCAAATTAAATCGATTCCTGAACTATCGAAAATTTTCGATACTTCAATCTGATTCAAAATTTTATTCTCTACAAAATAGAAAAAGTTTCATTCGATTATCTTGAGCGGTTCTTGAGATATTGAACTTAGTATCGGTATCAAAAATTCTCGATAGTTTGAAAATCGATTATTCTGATTCAGAATTTGATTTTCTACAAGATAAAAAAAGTTTCATTCAATTATCTTGAACGGTTTTTGAGATATTGAGCTTTGAAGTTGTAGCTCAGATCCAGAATTCGGTATCGAAAATTTTCGATAATTTGGAATCGATAATTCTGATTCAGAATTTGATTAAAAAAGTCCCTTTTGAAAATTTGAAAAAACTAACCCAAATATTGACATCTGGCTCAAAATCTGAGCTACAACTTTGAAACTCGATATTTCGAAAACCGTTCAAAATATCTAAATGAAACTTTTATCATCTCAAAGAGCAACAAATTCTGAATCAGATTAAATCGATTTCCAAAATATCGAAAATTTTCGATACTTCAATTTGATTCAGAATTTGATTCTTTACAAGATGGAAAAGTTTCATTCGATTATTTTGATTGGTTCTTGAGATATTGAGCTTTGAAGTTTCTGAACCCGATATCGAAAATTTTCGATAGTTCAGAAATCGATAATTCTGATTTAGAATTTTATTCTCTACAAGATGGAAAAAAGTTTAATTAAATCAAAAATTGACATCTAGCTCAGAATCTGAGCTACAACTTTGAAGTTCAATATCTCGAGAACCGCTCAAGATATCTAAATAAAACTTCCCATCTTAAAAAGCCTTAAATTTTTGAATCAAATTAAATCGATTCCTGAACTATCGAAAATTTTCGATACTTCAATCTAATTCAAAATTTTATTCTCTACAAAATAGAAAAAGTTTCATTCGATTATCTTGAGCGGTTCTTGAGATATTGAACTTAGTATCGGTATCGAAAATCTTCGATAATTTGGAAATCGATAGTTCTGATTCAGAATTTGATTCTCTACAAGATGGAAAAAAATTTATTCGATTATCTTGAGCGTTTCTTGAG